GTCACTTGCCTTCACATGTGGCCGACCCAGGTTTTCTCCCCAACATCCCAAACAGTCCCCTGAACACCATTCCTGAGTGCAAAGTCAGTAAAAGTTTTTAACCCCTGAGCATTGCCAGGTATATCCCAAAAGCCAAACAAATTTTTATTTTATTTATTTATTTATTTTTGCTTTTTGGGGTCACACCTGGCGATGCACAGGGGTTACTCCTGGCTCTGCACTCAGGAATTACTCCTGGCGGTGCTCAGGGGACCATATGGGATGCTGGGAATCGAACCCGGGTCGGCCGCGTGCAAGGCAAACGCCCTACCCACTGTACTATCTCTCCAGCCCCAAACAAAATTTTAGAATAAAATAAAAATCCCGTTCACAATTGTGTCTCCGAAGATCAAGTACCTAAAAATCAACTTAACTAAAGAGGAAAAAGACATATACAGGGGCTGGAGCGATTGCACAGCGGGTAGGGCATTTCCCTTGCACGCGGCCGACCGGAGTTAGATTCCCAACATCCCATATGGTCCCCCGAGCACCACCAGGAGTAATTCCTGAGTGCAGAGCCAGGAGGAAACCCTGAGCATCGCCGGTGTGACCCAAAAAGCAAAAAAAGCAAAAAAAAAAAAAAAAAGACCTATACAAAGAAAACTACAAAACACTACATTTAAAATTTAAAAAAAAAATAAAATTTAAAAAAAAAAGAGGCACCAGAGAGATAATATAGCAGGTAGGGAGCTTGCCTTGTTCAGGACCAATCCTGTTTGATCCCCAGCATCCCATATGGTCCCGCAAGCATCACGATCACGATCATACTGTTGTTCCTCGATTGCCTCGAGCAGGCACCAGTAACATCTCCTTCGTCCTAACCCAGAGATTATAAAAGTGCCACATTCAAGGCTCTTTCAGGGTCAGGAGAATGAGACCCATCATTGTTACTGGTATTTGGCATATTGGGTATGCCATGGGGAGTTTGCCAGACTCTGCCGCGTGGGCAGGCTACACTTCGTAGCCTGCCAGGTTGTCAAAGCAAAAATGAGATAATAAGATGTTGCCCGGCCACGAATGCAGCTGCGCACTTCCGGGAGCTGGATAATTTCTGAGTACCACCAGGAGTAATTCCTGAGTGCAGAGCCAGGAGCATCACTGGTGTGACCGAGAAGAAAAAAAAAACAAAGTAACAAACATAAATGTTACTGTTTTTTCTTTTTTTTTCCTGGATCTTGGTGCCATAAATGTGTTACAGCACAGTGTGGCCTGATTTTTTCTTGTGGGTCTTCAAAAATAACTTTAGTGAGAAATATAAAAGAGTAAGTATATATTTAGAAAGAAAAGGAAAGACAAACACCCGGTAAGAGTTAAAATAAACAGCGCAGGGCTGGAGTGATAGCACAGCGGGTAGGGCTTTTGCCTTGCACGCGACCAACCTGGGTTCGATTCCCAGCATCCCATATGGTCCCCTGAGCACTGCCAGGAGTAATTCCTGAGTGCAGAGCCAGAAGTAACCCCTGTACATTGCCGGGTGTGACCCAAAAAGCAAAAATAAATAAATAAATAGTGTATTTAAGAAGGAAGAGAAAAATAGATGCTTCAGAGGGTGGGGCACCTAAAAATAGAACAAATATCCATGAAAGTCTTTTGTCCTTTTCTTTAAAATGATTTTTGGGGGGTCCTGAGAGATATTACAGTGGGTTAGGGTGTTTGCCTTGCATGCGGCCTATCAGGGGTTCGATCCCCAGCATCCTGTAGCATCCTGTATGATCTCCTGAGTACCTCCAGGAGTAATACCTGAGTGCAGAGCCAGAAGTAACCCTGAGCATCAGCAGCTGTGACAGAGAAAGAAAGAAAGAAAGAAAGAAAGAAAGAAAGAAAGAAAGAAAGAAAGAAGAGAAAGAGAGAAAAGAAAGAGAGAGAGAGAGAGAGAGAGAGAGAGAGAGAGAGAGAGAGAGAGAGGACAACTCAATTCCGCCAGCACTGATAGTTGTGGCCACTGTTTAAAAAAAAAAAAAAACAGTTCAAGGGGCTGGTGCAACAGTATGGCAGGTAGGGCATTTGCCTTATATGCAATTTGACCCCGGTTCAGTCTCTGGCATCCCATATGATCCCCTAAGCTCTGCCAGGAGTGATTCCTAAATGCAGAGCCAGAAGTAACCCCTGAGCACCACCAGGTGTTCCTCAACCTCCCCCACCCTCCAAAAAAGGAGTTCCCCGAAAGAAAACCCCAATTCAATATAATACTGAATAATCATAGCCTTGACAGATATATACTGAGCAAATAATTTGGTCTTTTTTAAGTCTGAAGTTCTTTACCAGTAAAGTATCTATGATATAATATCTAACTTTCAAAGTCTTCACAAGGTTAAATAAGATAGCCACGTAAAGGATAAATCCTGCCCCATAGCAAGTCCTCAATAAAAACATTTGATAAAAGTGCATTCAGATATCAAATATGAAATTTTAGTAAAAACAAAAAGGGTCAATTAGTCTGCAAGATTTTTCAACCATCTTGAAAGTTTAGTAACTTCAGTGTTTTACATTTATTGAAAATTTGAGATAAAGGCAAAATTTTCTACCTAGTCATTTTGTCCTGTATGCTAATTAATTGTCTTCATACCAAAGAAAGTCTACCTAAATTAAACTTTACAATAAATAAAATATGTCTTTGAAACAATAATGTAAAATAAGACTAAGATCCTCTTTGAAGATTTAATCAAAAAGTAAAGAAGGTAAGAATTGATTTAATCGAATGTAAAGGGAGAAAGAGTAAAAACAGATGAAAAGAAACAAAAGAATCTGGAAAACTATATGCTCATATAGAAAACATTATACTCATACCCAGAGCAGGACTCTTGTCCAGAGAAAACAAGAACTTTATGCTATAAAGATAAGTTTAAGTCTCTAGCTTATGTTTTTTTGTTTTTGTATTTTTTTTCTAATTTGTTTTTGTTTTGGGGTCACACCGTGCAGTGCTCAGGGCTTACTCCTTACTCTGATCTCTTCAGTGATCACTCCAGGCCCTGCTCAGGGGACCATATGGAATTCTGGGGGTTGAACCTGAATCAAGGCAAATACTCTACCCACTGTACTATCTCTCCTCTCGTGCCCTAATTTATCTCTGGGATCATTGATCAGGAGCCAGAGAGGCTGTTTGTAGGCGGCGACTCAGGGTCTCACTGGGATGGGGAGGAAGGGGCCAGTTCCACCCCCATCAGGTGAGGCCCCGCATGTCTTGTCACTGCGGGCCCAAACCTGACTGTCCAGTGGCCTCTGGAGGATGGCAGTCACCAGGCCGCCAGGGGGAGCAGGCCAAGGCACAGAACCTATTCCCACCTGGAGTGGCCCAGCGCCAGTAACCTACTGCAGGAACAGGACGCATTTCTGCCAAAAGCCTTTGGGTTCCGAGATTCGTTTCTGAGTCTCTGGGATCATGGCCTTTAAGCAGTTCGATCAGGAACCAGAGAGGCCATGCTCCAAATTATATAGCTGAGCCGGAGGTAGTTTTTGGGTGTGTCTCCCACATACCTAACTTTTGGCTGTTTACTTTCTTGCTAAACTTTGCCCCAAGGTTTTGGGGTCTGGTCAAAGGCACAGCAGCAGTTTTGGGGTATCTGAAAGTCTGACGGTGCCATCAGGCTGCTGATGCACTCACCTCACAGGTACATTGCCCTGCTGGTGGTACTATACCCCCTTCAAGGAGTAAATCTGTTGATTGTTGCTATGGTAGCTGTTGTATGTCCTATGGTTTGGTTTGGTTTGGTTTGGTTTGGGAGTGGGGTGACACACTTGGCAGAACTCAAGGGCTACACCAGAACCTGAGTTTTCCACATACTTCCTGCATACAAAGCATGTGCTCCAGCCATACAAAACATCTTTTTCAAATAGTTTACACATAACTCTAAGTAGATAACTACAAAGCACAGCCAGGAACAACATCATACCCTGAGGAAAAGGAAAAGTCTGGTGACAGGGTCTGAGCTCAGTGAGGGCTTGCTCTGCCTGCTGGGACCTGTTTGGACCCGTGGCACACATAGTTCCCTGAACACCACCTAGAGCAAGCACCCCTACCTCACCACCACCACAGTGCTCTGCATTTTGTGGTGTGACCCTGAAAAGCAAACAAATAATCTGATTCCAAAGTTAGTCCATTTTATTTATTTTAATTTCATTTTCATGAAGTTGTTCTTAATAATTTATTAATTCAATATTTTAACACCTTCCTACCATTATTTTGAATTTTACCACCACCACCCAAGTCTGCCCCAAAGGCAGATGCTAAATAATTTATTTTATATTGCTTGTTATAAATTATCAACTAAAAATCATCTGAAAAAGGTTTCCTTAGAGGAAAGTGTGTGAAAATTGTTGTATCTCACCTTGGAACCATTAAGCCCTGTTTAAGAGATCATTAACATGTTGTTACATGTTGAGACTTGTATAGTTAGCCCATTTTAATGTTCAAACTGTCTTATTTCTCAACCAAAAATATATGAGGCAGGAAAAGAAATAAAAAAAAATATGTCATAAACACAAAAATTCAATTTGTCATTGAAAAACTGTTAATAATGGACTTTCTAGACAAATATTTCAAATATAGTTTTTCTTTGGGGAGTTTAAGGGGAGGTTGGACCAAGCCCAGATTACTTCGGGCACCTTGATCAAGTATCACTCCTAGCTGTCCTCAGAAGCACATATGTGGTACCAGGGATTAACCAAAATTTGCCACATACAAGGGAAGTACCTTATAAGTACAAGACTCTTGTCTAGTCCCCTAGATTAATAATCTTAAATATGCTCAGAGTTTTGTTTTCCATTTTGTTTTTGGGTCTAGAGGGTGGTGATCAGGTTTGGCTCCTGGCTCTCTGCTCAGAAATCACTCCTGGAGGTGCTCAGAGGACTGACCATATGTGGTGCTGAGGATAGAACCTGGTCAAATGCAAGGCAAGCATCTTAACCAACCCCTGGACTATCTCTCCAGTTTGTCAAAGATTTATTATTATTGTTATTATCTTTACTATTCGCTGCATGGCGTGTCTCTCCAGTCATTGTCCCAAGGACTCTGAGAAGCTGTGGAACATGCAGATTCAGACGGGAGGTCCAGCTTGTTCTCCAATAGTGTGGCAAGGGACTATACATCATGGGGCAGAGTCATACGTTCCTCTATGCCACCTGGAGAGTGCCCAGGGGAAGCAGCCTCCCGTGATATCCATGTTGGAGGTCAAAGATATTTTTTAAGTCTAAGAACAAAGGGAAATCAGAAGAACAATGTCTGAACAAAACGGGACTATTAATATATAGGAATAGAACATATAGAAACTAAATAGAAATTCTGGAGCTAAAAGTAAAATAACTTTAAATAAAAATTCTCAAAAAGTCTTATGCAATAAGGTATTTATAACTCAGGTTGGCCATATGCAAGGCAAGTGCCCTACCTGCTATACTATCTCTCTGGCCCCTCATACATATATATTTTTAATGAAAAATATCATGTTGGCAAGGGTGTAGAGAAATTGGAGCTCTCACTCTTACTGACTGGAATAAAGAGTGATGCAGCCACGTGGGGAAAATGTTTGATGGATTTTCAAAAGTGAACTGTAAAATTAACATATCTGCCATCGTTCCTAGATATATGCCCCCCCAAATTCTTTTAATTAGAAGCAGGTATTCAAACAAATGTTTTCAACCAAGTGTTTATAATAGTCTTATGCATTCATGGTAGTCAAAAGTAGAAGAAATTCAAATGTCCATCAACCATGAATGAACAAAGTATGCTATACCAATACAATGGGTTAGAAGATTCAGCCATAAAATATAAATTAAAAACTGACACTTGATACAGTGTGAATGGACTTTGAAAACATGCATGAACGAAGGCAGACACATATTTTATATGACTCCATTTATGTGAAACATTGAGTATAGGTGAAGTCACAGAGACTAAAAGCAGCATAATGGCTACCAGGGCCTGAGGGAAGAAAGGGTTGGGAGTGACACCTTAAGTGTGGAAGCTAAGCGCCTGAGTGATTGCACAGAGAGTAGAGCACTTGCCTTGCACACAGTCCAAGTTTGGCTTTGATCTCCTCAGCCTATCTTGTCCTCTGAGCCCTGAGCATCGCCAGGTGTGGCAGAAAAACCAACTAATTAATAATTGTTTAAAATAAAGAGCATAAGCATCTACACAATGGAATACTGTGCAGCTGTCAGGAAAAATAAAGTCATGAAATTTGCCTATAAATGGATGGACATGGAGAGTATCATGCTGAGTGAAATGAGTCAGAAGGAGAGGAACAGATACAAAATGACTGCACTCATTTGTGGAACATAAAATATATAGTAGAAGACTAATATACATGGCCAAGGAAAACAGGAATTAGGAGGACTAGCCAATGGTTGGAACTAACCACAAGTGTGTGAGGGGTTGAGAGTAGATAAGATATAGAAGAGACCAGTATGACAATAATAGTTGGGAATGATCACACTGGACAAAATCTGAGGGTTAAAAGTGGTAAAGGGATATTCTTGATAACCTTTCAGTAACAATATTACAAATCACAATGACCAAAAGGAGAGAGGGAGAGACAGAGACAGAGACAGAGAATAAAAGCACCTGGCATAGAGGCAGGCAGGAGGTGGGGGTGGGGTATGGGGGGGTGATAGGAGGAAACCCGGGGATACTGGTGCTGGGAAATATACACTGGTGGAGGGATGGGCACTGGAATACTGTATGACTGAAATCCAATCATGAACAGCTTTGTAAGGATCTATCTCACAGTATTCAATTAAAAAAAAAAGTTTAAAAAAACTAAGTGCATATAAGGTCTCTTTGGGAAAATAAAATTTTTTTATATTTTATTTTTTGGGTTTTGGGCCATACCCAACAGTGCTCAGAGAGAATTTCTGGCTCTGTGCTCAAGAGTCACTCCCCGTCTGCACTTGGAAAACCATATGTGATGCCAGGGATTGAACCAGGCAATTGAAAGGCAAGTGCCTTACCCCTGGTACTGAAAATATTTTCAGTATTTTCTGAATTCAGTATTCTCTGGCCCTGAAAATATTTTAGGCTAGGTAAATACAATGGCTGCACAACACGATTGTATTAAATGCCACCAAAGTGCACAACAGGATTGTATTAAATGTCACCAACACAATTCAGAATGGTTACCTTTAAATTATATAAATTTCACATCAACTTTCCTTTAAAAAAAGAAGCAAGATAGTCGTTCAGCCACTTCAACTAAAATAACTACATATTCTTTTCTTTTTAGATAATTGTTTCTATTTGTTTTGTTTTTGCAGTGATGTGGACTGTACACAGAGCCTCATACATGCAAAGCAAACATTTAACCCCTAAATATATCTTCAGCCTTTTCTTTTTAAAACAGAAACCAAATATTGAAGAAAATATAAAATATTTTATCTTACAATGTTATTCTAAGAATTTAAGTCCCTATTTTTAAATTTTATTGATATGTTTATAGGTTTTGGGATGACATGACACCCGGTGCTAACCATCAAAGGCTACTTCCAGGAGAGAGAGAGAGAGAGAGAGAAAGAGAAGGAAATTGCCTGCCACAGAGCCATAGAGGCAGGCAGGGGATGGGGGGATGATGGGAGAGAAACTAGGATATCGGTGTGGTAGAGTGATGAGTACTGGATCATTCTTGACTGAAACCCAATCGTGAGCTTTGTAATTGTGTATCTCATGGTGACTCAATTTTTAAAAAAATAAATTTTTAAATAATAAAGTTGGAAATACATACATAAATGAATAAATAAAATCTTTTGGCCAACTTAAAAATCAAACCAGGGGCTGGAACGATAGCACAGCAGGTAGGGCATTTGCCTTGCATGTAGTCGACCTGGGGCAGGAGCCATAGCACAGCAGTAGGGTGTTTGCCTTGCAAGCTGCCGGTCAGGCTGAGCCGGGTTCGATTCCTCCGCCCCTCTTGGAGAGCCCCGCAGGCTACCGAGAGTATTTCGCCTGCAAGGCAAAGCCTGGCAAGCTACCCGTGAGGTATTTGATATGCCAAACACAGTAACAACAAATGTCACAATGGAGATGTTACTGGGCCTGCTCGAGCAAATCGATGAACAACGGAGGACAATGCTACAGTGCTACAGTAGTCGACCTGCGTTAGATTCTCAGCATCCCATATGGTCCCCCGAAAGCACCACCAGGAGTAATTCCTGAGTGCAGAGCCAGGATTAACCCCTGAGAATCACTGGGTGTGACCCAAAAAGCAAATAATAATAATAATATAATAATAATAATAATAATAATAATAAAATGGGCTGGAGCGATAGCACAGTGGGTGGGGCATTTGCCTTGCAAGCGGTCAGCATGGCCAACCAGAGTTCGATTCCTCTGCCCCTCTCGGAGAGCCCGGCAAGCTACTGAGAGTATCTCGCCCGCACAGCAAAGCCTGGCAAGCTACCCTTGACGTATTTGATATGCCAAACACAGTAACAGCAAAGTCTCACAATAGAGACTTTGTGAGACTTTTTAACAACAAAGTCTCACGATGGAGACATTACTGGGCCCGCTTGAGAAAATCGATGAACAACGGGAGGACAGTGATCAATAGATCAATAATAAAATAAAAACCAAACCAGAGGCTACTGCCAGCTTCGTGTTCCAGGGCTGCCCCCAGCGGTGTTTGGGGGACCAACACTGCAGGGGATTGATTCCAGGCATCCACACACAAATCATGTGTGCATTGGCCCTTTGAACTATCTTCCTGGCCCGCTGTACTCATTTTTACAATAAGTGTAAGTATGACTTTGTCTTGGACATTTGATCTGTGGGTTAGAAGATGTAACTGGTGGGGTCAGAGCCATAGTACAGCGGATAGGGCGTTTGTCTTACACATGGGCAACTCAGGTTCAATCCTGGGCATCCCATATGGTCCCACAAGCACCACCAGGAGTAATTCCTGAGTGCAGAGCCAGGAGTAACCCCTGAGCATCACTGAGTATGACACAAAAAGAAAAAAATGTAACTGGTAACTTGTTTATTTCCAATGGCTACTGTTACTGTTTCCCTTTCCAGTGGCTTATACCATTACCATTCATAACTGTTCTATCCAGGGGTTATAAAGGGTTAAGATTTGTGTATTTCAATATTCTATCTACATCCTCAAATAGTAGAAGAGGCCTTCTTTGATACTAGCATGATGCCAAAATATAATTCATTATAACTCACTAGATACATTTCAAGAAATAGTGTGGTACATGACACAATTCAAGTCTGCACCTTACTAGTTTGAATGACCCTTAATATAAAGCTACTGATCCATCTTGGACTCAGTTTCCTTCCCGATAAAATCAAGCTGATACTCGGGCAGTTGATATGAGGAACTAATACTATCCCAAAGTATTATACAAATGCTGGTGATTGATATCACCGGTTCCAATGTTTTACAAATAGAAGGTTTAGATTAACGTTTATTTAATTGAGTTGCACAATGGTCCTGAGATAGAAGGCTAATTGTAGCTTGCACTGATAAAATAAATGGGGCTCTTTCTTTGCTTTTCTTTTTTTTATTGAATCACCATGAGATACAGTTACAAAACTTTCATGTTTGAGTTTCAGTCATACAATGATCAAATCATCCCTCCACCAGTGCACATTCTCCACCATCAATATCCCCAGTATACCCCCCCCCCTTTCCAACCCTCCTCCTGTCTCTGTGGCAGACAACTTCTCCCATACTCTCTCTCTGCTTTGGGGCATTATGGTTTGGAATATAGATACTGAGAGGCTATCACGTTTGGTCCTTTATCTACTTTCAGCACACATCTTCCATCCCGAACAATTCTTCCAACCATCATTGACTTAGTGATCCCCTCTCTATTCCAGCTGCCTTCTCCCCCAGCTCATGAGACAGGCTTCCAACTACGGAGCAATATTCCTGGCTCTTGTGTCTACTGTCCTTGAGTGTCAGTCTCATGTTATTTTACATTCCACAAAAGAGTGCAGTCATTCTTTGTCTGTCCCTTTCTTTCGGACTCATTTCACTTAGCCTGATCCTCTCCATGACCATCCACTTATACGCGAATTTCATAACTTCATGTTTTCTAAAAGCTGCATAGTGTTTCATTGTACCGAAGTTTCTTTAACCAGTCATTTGTTCTCAGGCACTCGGGTTGTTTCCTGATTCTGGCTACTGTGAACAATGTTGCAATGAACATACAGGTGCAGATATCATTTCTACT